AGAAGGGGTCCATTTGGTTGTTCCAATGGGACCTATACGACATATTATAGTATGTCTCCAGGGCGTCTTCTGGACGGCTCGGGTACCCTGATATAGGAAAGTATCTACTTCCCAATCTAAATATATTGGCTCGCATTGTATCATGCATATTAATTTATTGAGCCATGGATCTTTACTCCGTAATGGGCAACACAACGTGATGGTAGCTTTATGTATATGAACATAATTTAATAGCTGGGCAATTAACTGCTATGGTGGATTAGCCCACGCATTATGTTTGGAGAGGTCTATTTGAAAGGCGCCTCCCAAAGGATGATTTAAAGTCCTGTAATTCGATAGTTGTGCATTATGATGTGCAGCAAACATATCTATGGTATGTGGCCCCAAATATCTTTTAAGCCAGTTCAAACCACCTGGGATTACATTTCCAGTCAGTGGCTAGTACCTCACGTACGGATTTATTAAAGTCCGGTACGAAGCATGATAACATATCCGGTAAATGGTTATGAATTCCTGGCAGATGTTTTATATCAAAATGAAACTTTGATATTGTATCATGCCAGCGACTCAGTAATTGTGAGTCGGGTTTCATCTCTTTCATATAATGAAGAGATTTCTGATCACACATCAGCGTAAATGCTGTTCCATATAAGTAATCTCGGAAGTGTGTTAGAGCTGCCACTATGGCTAATAGCTCTTGTTTAACAGTTGCATAATTCAACTGTGAAGCATTCGTTGCTCGACTAAAGAATTGTATATTGAAAGGCTTGTTATCTATAACCTGATATAATACTCCCCCTAAGGCTAAGTCGGAGGCGTCCGTTGCTATTTCAAACGGCACGCCATCGACTGGTCCTTGTACAACAGGGGCTTGCTGGACTGCGTGTTTGAGCGCTTTAAATTCGTCATCACACTCTTTAGTCCACAAGTCTACTAGTATGCCTTTATGACATCTTAAGTGTCCAAAAGGTTTAAGGTATTCAGATAAGTGTGGTACTCCATCTCAAAAGAAGTTTACAAACCCACACATGCTGTTAACATCTCTTCCTGTAGTTGGTGTTCGCCAATCTAACAGGTGTTCTACCTTACTGTAGCCCAAGAGCTGTATTTCGCTCATGGCAAAGTGACATTTCTTATCGTTAATCTTGAAGTTTTTGTCGTTGAGTCTCTGAAGGACTCGCCTGATTAATGTGGCATATTCGCCTTTAGTCTTAGAAAAGACGACTATGTCATCTATATAGACTTGCACGTTAGGCATGTCTGCAAACATTTCCTTCTTTACTTGTTGGAGTAATGCTGGTAAAGAGTGTAACCCGAAAAGTGCACCTCTGAACCTATATTGTTTACCTTTCCACGTAAAACTGAAGTATTTATGATGTGGTTCATATACCTGCATTTGATGGTATCCTTGTGTAAGGTCTATAGTTGTAAATACTGTAGCACCTTCCATCCTTCGCAGTAGCTCGTTAGTACGAGGTAAGTGAAAGCTATGAGACGGTAATAATTTATTTATTGAACTCATATCTAAACATACTTTGACTTTCTTAAACGATCCGTCAGAGTTATGTTGGTCTACGGCTAGCAGCGCCAAGTTAGCTGGCGTCTGTTGATAGTTAATTTCTATCACTCCATCTGCTATCCATTTCTCAATTTGTTCGTTTACCACAGCCTCGTGTCTCCAGGATACATAGTTCTTTGAGGGACACTTTAACTGTGTAAAGTACACCTTGGTTAAGTCAAGGCTGACATATCCGTCGTTAATACGGAATTCTGCCCAAACTGTGATCTTTAATCATCTTATTAACTAGAATCAGATCTACGATTTTGTCCGCAAAGTCAGGTATTAATGCCTTGACTGTGTCTGACTAAAACCTTCTGGGATTCGTCTTTGTTCCCTATAATTGGAGACTTTTCTTTCTGAGTTTCGTCAGAAGAATTGGCTGGGGCGTCTTGAGACGTGTCCCTTGTCTCACTTCTTGGCTTCGTAAATGCAATCTTCGAAGTTGAAGCAATACTTGGCCCTCGGGCTCTATCTGTAGGGGTAGTCTCCTTAATCGGAGTGGCTACATTCTTATCCGAAGCATTGTCCTGTTGACTATTATTGTCGGAGACAAGTACCTCGGCTACGGTGCGGTTAAACGCATCGGCAGCAGCGGCGGTTGCTTCTGCGGCAGCGCTAGTGGCTTCTCTCTCCATCTTCTTACATTCAGCCTTGCTTTTCTTTGCAGGTGTATTGTCATTCTTTGTCATAATCTTAACTTATGACTTCAGTATTTTTCTCTTAAGGAATAACTGTACTTAGGAAAAAATTCGTGGTAGTTATCTATACGTTCAAGTAGTCTAAGTAGTTGATACCTTTGCTAACTTTAAATTGTGTAGGATTCGGTCTATCAAGGCGATATTAACGCCTTTTAGGTTAAGTCTAAGTATCGTGAAATTCGAAGTAATTAATCGAAATGAGTCTTTTGGTAAAGTTAGTATGCCTCGTGAAAACAGCAATACTCCGAGGGATTGTGAGGCTGAGACATTGCCTATATATAATCATCTCAGTACTGTTTTCGCCGAAGGGATTTTATTTGGTGTTTCGTTGTCGCTCTATTAGAAACTATGGTATGTTTCGTTGGGGCGAATCCGAGAGACTCATAAAATCCTATCTTTAGAAAAAAAGAAAAGAAAAAAAAAGAAAAAAACTCTTAGATGTCCATCATAGTTATTGCATTAACCCATAACTTGCCACTTATCAAGAATTACCGACTTAGCCTTCATCAGACTGGCACATCTGGTTGGCTGAACGGAGGATAAACTTAGCAACGCTAATAGTCCTTAGAAACCTATGTTCGGTTGAGCCATCTCGCTACCGAAGTATTCAGATATATATAGATTTGGAAAGTAAATATAGTTCTATTAATAGAACTAGACCAAATCTTATGTTTGGTATTTTACTGGGGCCTTTTATTGGCCTTGCCCAAATATCTGATATGTAAAATGGAAAGGTATTAATTAATAAAACCGTTAAAAACCATTTAGGAAACTTAAGTTCATCGTACTATTAAGAGTACGTTTATAGTTTACGTACTGCTTAAGAGCACCTTTATAATATAAAGTCTAATGCGGAGGCCCGGCTATTATAGTAATTGATTTCGATTGCCCCATCGGATAACTATTTCTCGACTTGTTCTTTAACTACAGCGTCGTATCTCTAAAAAACATAGTTTCTTGAAGGACATTTGAGCTTAGTAAAGTCTACCTTGGTTAAGTCAAGGCTGACGTATCCGTCGTTGAAGCGGAATTTCGCACAGTCGGTTATATTTATCTTCTTATTTACTAATATAAGATCCATTATCGTAACGGCAAAGCCAGGAATTAATTCCTTGACTGTGTCCAATGGTTTTGTATATGATTTTAGACAAGTATCGTCTGACTGATCTTTTAATGGATCTATGTTGTTGGGTAAGCCTGTTACGGTTATCCCTCTACTTCTGTGACATCGTAACGATCACAGCTTGAGCCGTGATATTTCTATCATCGGCCAGGGAGATTTTAACAACTGTGGCCATGGTATCACACTTATAAGTTTTATCATCTGCTAAAATTAGGTGAGTGGTTTAAGTTCGCCTTTCAACGTCATTCATTAATGCAAAGCGGTCGGATATACACACTGTGCGTCGGCACATTTCTTAATCTCCTTAAATGAAGGTTCCTTGTCCTTCGTCTCCGCGCGTGCCCGTTTATCGGGTCGCGTTGATTGAGTGTAATAGCGAGGACGTGTCTGGTTAGGACGCGTCTGATGAGGTTTATCATCTGACGTCTGGCGTGAGAGGTATCCTTGATCAGTGAGCTCGCGCGGTTTCTTATTTACCGCCTTTCCCTTCGAGGTTACTCGGTGTGCGGGGAAAAGAGTGGATACAGTATCATAAAACTGTTCCCACGTAAGTCGGATAGATAAAACTTTGTTTCATGTCCCTTGTCTCGAACCTCAGTAGCATATTTACGTCGCAACTCGGTGTACAGACTTTCACGGTCATTGTTCCCTATGTTTTTACAGAAAACATGCATAACCAGGAACTCGTACCATCGCTGCGCCTTGTCCTTTGTTATATCTGGAAGTTTAAGGTCAGCATCAAATTTCAGAATATAACTCTGAATAGGAGTATTCTCAACTGGTTCAGTTAAGATTGAACCCAGTCCTAGACTTCCCATGTCCTTGCTTAATAAGGACGTAACCAACCAATACACAGTGGGCCTGAAGTAGCTAATTGATGCGCTTCTGATACATCATCAGCACGGTGAATTTCCATCTTAATGGTGTAATCGTCGACCGATTTATCAAGTTCGGTCACCTCGTCAGAGAGTGGAAATCCTCTGACGAGGTGAACGAACTTTAAAAACCAGACCACGGATGCATTCGGTATGTGCTGGCTGGCCTGAATCAGAAGTATCATAGGCGGGACCAACAAGCGCAATGATTTGGTTTCAGTGCAAAAGAATTCTGTAATGTAGCTGATATCTTCTTTACTGACGTAGACACTATGTACGGTATCGAGCGTGGTGCTTCCAAGATCAACTTTTGTGTGCTGGCCTCGAGATGTACCAGTATAGTGCTATTGAATAACTGTAATTATAGAGGCCCACTGATAGAAGCCACATACAATAATACGAGAAGAAAGCAAGAACAAAAAAGCAGGAAAAAAACAAAGTATTTCCCGAATCTCCATCACGTGTCGTCTGGTGGTCGCTGACAGATCAATCTAACGGACATCATGTGCGCTCTGCGACCTTCTGACCCTCTGCCATCGTCTCATATGCAATTGGTATACCCTGAGTCCATCATGAAGTGTTTATTCGTCGTTCATACGTACCTCTACCGTACTTTGTACCACTGTCCTGACCCTATTTATTTTGATATTCTCTCAGTTCATCATTGAAGTGTTTATTCGTCGTTTATACGTACCTTTACTTTACTTTGCGAAACCAAATCATCGCGCTTGTTGGTTCCGACTATGATACTTCCGATCCAGGCCAGCCAACACATACCGAATTCATCCGTGGTCTGGTGCCGCATTGGCTTACCCCCATCCTCGCTTCTCGACCGGATTATGACGGATAACCTGGTCCTTCTCGGTATTTCGTACTCTGTACTAACCCATTCCACGGCACTGCACGGCGCAGACCCGATCCGTACCACAGAGGTGGGTATGCTACTTAGTAGGTCAGCAAGCAAATACATGGCACATTCGTTGGTATCAGTGTTTTGTCAGCACCGGCCCGAACTGACTCAGCGCTTATCCTCCTGTAATAAGCCGGGCCTCCACATTAGACTCTATGTATTAACGTACTCTTAAGCAGTACGCAAATTATAAACGTACTCTTAATAGTACGAGGAACTTAAGTTTCCTAAATGTACTCTTAATAGTACGAGGAACTTAAGTCTCCTAAATGTGCTCTTAATAGCACGAGGAACTTAAGTTTCTTAAAATGGGGTTTAATGGTTTTATTAATTAAACCTTTTCCATTTATCATGTCAGATATTTGGATGAGGCCTGTAAACTTCGATGGAAATTA